ACACACACACACACACACACACACACACACACACACACACACACACACACACATACAAAATAACCAAGCACGCGTCCCAACGCAAGTTGTGCAAGCTGTGCAAGCAATACCAGCATGGAGAGGGAAGCGACGGCGCAGTATGTGGAGCCACCGTGTGCCTCAAGCCCTGGCCCTTGCGCAAACCCGCCCTCATACGTCTGGCTGTTGAAGATGTACTGCTTGATGGCGGCGGTGTTGACCCCGGACCAGTCGTCAAGCAGTGTGCAGATGGCGCACGCGCAGTAGACGAAGCGCATGTCGTTTTCGCCACCCGTGTGCAGCGCCGTAAAGCTGCCGTCCTCCTTCTGATAGTGCTTGAGCGACGACACAATTGCTGCCCGCTCCACGCGATCAAGCGAGTCCCCCAGGATGCTGAGGCTGCACAGCGCGCAGAAGGTCATGGTCAGGTGTGCGCAGTCCTCATCGTTGGCGGGCGGCGCCCCGTTGGGCCCAAGCACGCGCCCGTTTGAAGGGGACCCGCGGAACCCACAGTACCCACGCGAGTACTCATCACTCGGCAACACCTGCGAGGGAGAGGCGGAAGCAAAGGCATGGGGGTTGGTGTTTCGTTTGGACGAGGTGCTGAACGCATGTGTTCCCAAAGATACGACATGGGCGGCGGAATGGAACCATGCAGAACACACAAGCAGACACAGAGACACTCAAGTTCTTGCCACACAGGCAGATACAGGCAGACAGACACACAGACAGACACACAGACACACAGACACAGACACACAGACACACAGACACACAGACACACAGACACACAGACACACAGACACACAGACACACAGACACACACACACAGACACACACACACACACACACACACACACACACACACACGCCGTACCTGCAGCGAGTAGATCCAATCAATGATGCCTTGCTTCTTCGCCTCAATGTCGCCAAGACGGTCGAGGATGTCAAGCCCAGAGACTGCAAAGTGGGTCAACATCAACCGCTGCGTGTCCAAGTGAAGAAACGCGGAAGGCAGGGCCTTGAAGAACATGAGGAACGAGGTGGCGTGCCGCTGCCACCCAAACTCCCCTTGCATCTCCGCCTTCTGCTCCCCACCGCCACTCATCTTCGTTGTGTGGGTGTGTGGTTTGCTTGCTTGGTTTCTTTCGTTGTTTGCCAGTTCTTGCTGCGCACACCGCTCACGCACTCGCTGCTCACCGCTCACTGCACTCACGGAACGCACCACAGCCACTCGCTCACGATGCTGCTGCCTGTGGATGTGACGGCCGGCGGGGTGGTGTCAGCGCTGGGCTTGAGCTGCGGCCTGGCTGCCCTGTATCTTGTATCCTTGTACGCGCTGCCTCAGCCCAGCAACCGCAACCACCCGCGCGCGGTCATCGCCAGATGCATCGGCGCATCCGCCGCCACGATCGCCAGCCCGCTTGCGCTGTACGCTGTCTACCACTCCTCCAGCCCAGCCGCTACTGGTGTCCTCGACGCCATCTGGCTCACAAACGCACCCGCCACGCCAGCAGCCTCCTCGCTCATGGCTGGCAGCCCATGGCTCGCGCACCACACACAGGCGACGCTGCGCGGGCTGGTGCTCTTTGCGCTCCTGTTCGCCGGGCCGCTCCTGCAGGCGGCGCTGGACAGCCTCGAGTACCGACGGCAGGAGGCACGGCGCGCAGCAGTGCGGCAGGCACTCCGCAACAGCCATGCTCACCACCGCCACCCCGGCACCACTGACGGCACTTACGATGACGACAGCGACGCCCAGCACTACGACGAAGAGTCGTCGTCTCTGCACTTCCTTCGCAACGTCGTTGTGGCGCCCATCACAGAGGAGATTGTCTTCCGCGGCTGCATCACCGCGCTCATGCTGCCGCACATGTCTGTGGCCGCGTGCAACCTGCTGTGCCCGCTCATCTTCGGTATCGCACACTTTCACCACGTCCTGCGTGGCGTCCCCGTGTCTGTCGTCAGCGTGCAGCTTGTCTACACCTCCGTCTTTGGCTCGCTCTCCTCCCTCCTCATGCTGCGCACGCACTCCCTGGCCGCCGCTGTCGCCGCCCACATGTTCTGCAACCACATGGGCCTGCCAGACTTTGAGGGCGCCCTCAACCACCGGCACAGGACGCTGGTCCTGGGCGCATACGTGTTTGGGCTCGTTGGCTTTGTTGCAGCTTTGTGCTTCCACTCCATCGTGTAGCCATCCCACCTCTTCCTGGTGTGGCAGCCGGGTCAGCCGGCATTGGCTGCTCTTGACCACCAACGCGGCGAGCATGCCCCAGATGCACACACTACGCAGGCCCTTCTTGCCGACACACCGCATCCTCCAGCCTGCGGCACGACAGCGTGCACTGCATCGCAAGCAGGCAGCCTTCTATTCACATCATCACAACAACAGTAGCAACAGCAGCAACAAAAACCACGCACGTGCCATGGCACTGCCTATTCAACGCCATCATGCATACATGAGTGCCGCATGCACACGCGACATCAGCCGCTGTGAAGAGACCGAGCGGAGGAGAAGAGCGGGCAACAGGCACTCACACGTGCAACAGTTACACAAAAGACGGGCCAAGACAACGGGCGACAGAGACAGACGACTAGCCATAGCCAGGCGGAGAGGCAAGAGGACAGGAGGGAGATGGAAGCGGGTGAAGGGCTGGATAAAGGTGGGTAGGATGCAAAGTGAGACAAGAGAGCTGTGCGTGCGTGCGTGCATATGTGTGTGTGTGTGTGTGTGTGTGTGTGTGTGTGTGTGTGTGTGTGTGTGTGTGTGTGTGTGTGTGTCTATTCTGGATAGCCGTGCCAGGGGCGGCGCGGGGCAAGGTGGATCTTTTTGCCGTGATATCTGAACGTGACGACGCCAAAATACGCTGTTCGTGGCACACCGTCCTGTCAGCAGTGATTGGCGGTGGAGTGGTGGGGGCAGTAGGGGAAGTGCAAGCATTGGCATGGGTGAGTGAGAAAGGTTCAGGCGCACGTCGCGTGGTGCAGTGATAAACGAACACGTCATGACACGATGGCCCAAACAAAACAGGTCAGAGCAGAGGCAAGGGAGAGAGTAGAGAGCAGAGAAGCGGAACACAGAGAAGAAGAGAGAAACTGGGAGACGGCTTTGCGAACAGAATGGCAAGGCGGGCAGCAGGCGACACCTTCAAGTCGTCCATGATGCCGATGCGCTTGGCGATGCCTTCAAAGTCACCGCGGCGGTCCGCGCTGTATTCGATGCGCAGCAAATCGCCCCCGCCCCGCTCAACGTCGTCCACGTTCACCTGAAGCGCGTGGAACCAGCACGTCATGGGGTCAGCAGGCATTTGTGAACGGAGGTATGTGGGTAGCGCAAACACGAAGACGACGACACAGACACAGACACACATGCACGCAGACACAGACAGACAAACAGACACACGCACACACACACACACAGACAGACAGACAGACAGACACACACACACACACACATGGAGCATCTACTGACGAGCTGGGCCTTGACGTAGACTTCTTCGAGGAAAGCGAGATCATAGTTGTCCTTCAGAAGATTCGACAAGTCCTTCTGTGTAAACTTAATGTCCGCCTGTTATCACAAACATGGCAGCCGTTGGCAGCGTTTGACAGTGGGGTGGGTGGACAGGTGGTATTAGAAGCAAGCAAGGACGTGTGGGGGCATGCATGAATAGGGGCAAGCAAGGCAGCAAGCAACCAAGCGGGAGCGTGGTGCGTGCGTACGTCTGAGAGCTGAATATACTTGAGGTACTGGTCAAAGAACTGCCCGCGGGACACGCCAATCCTGCACACCATCACAGCAGCAGTAGTGGTATGACAGACGACAGCGGTGAGAGAAGTGGTTTGGGGGGGGGGGCGGTGCCGCAGGCGAAGAAGCGACGTTGATGGTGGAACCAAGACGTGCACATGGGCGATTGAGGAACGAGAAGGCACGACCGACACAGACACAGGGAAGCGCATGCGCACAGAGGGATACAGAGACACACAGACACACAGACACGCACACGCACAGAGGAATACAGAGACACACAGACACACAGACACACACACACACACACACACACACACACACACACACACACACACACACAGATACAAACAGGCCGGGCCGCACCTGCCAAACGTGCGTGTGCGGGAGATCTCTGGACGGATGCAGGCGCGCTCGCGGCGCTGCTCGTGTTCGCGCATCCAATCGTCCCAGAACGACTGTGGCCACTTGGACGACAGCTGACGCCAGCAGCGGTGGTAATGGTGGCGATGGTGGCGATGGTGGTGATGTGATGATTGTGATGATGGTGGTGAACAGTGTGAGCTTGTGCACGGTCCACACGCACACGCAGGTGATATGTGTACATGTGCGTGCGTACGCGCGTGTGTGCATGTATGTGTGGGAAGGGGGCATGTATGCGCGCAGTCGTTGCTGGGTACCTCCTCTGTCCAGAGAGATCGGAGCATCATCCATCCAAGACCGCCGAAGAAGTCGCTCCGATACAGCGCCTCAGGGTCCTGCACATATCCTTCCTTACCGTTGTCGTTCCACGCTGTCAAAACCGCATCACAGGCGGCAAACAACAGACATGCGTGAGCATACACCTCCCGTGTGTGTGTGTGTGTGTGTGTGTGTGTGTGTGTGTGTGTGTGTGTGTGTGTGTGTGTGTGTGTGTGTGTGTGTGTGTGTGTGTGTGTGTGTGTGTGTGTGTGTGTGTGTGTGTGTGTGTGTCCCTGCCCCCTCTCTGTCTTTCCCCCTCTCCCTGCTCTCTCTGTGTTGTGATGCGTGTGTGTGGTGTACTTTGTCCTTTATTCATTCTTGGTGCGCGACTGTTGCACACCGCGTGTGTGCTTACAGCGGCGGACCCGTCACATCACGGAGGTCCGTCTGCGGAACATGGCCGTGCCCACTGACGACGACAGCCCCACCCCAGGCGCCCAGAAGTGGTTTTCCTTTTTCACCATCTCCACAGACTCAGGTGTGCGTTGTGTATGTGTGTGTGTGTGTTTGTGTGTCGTACCTTGAGCGTCTGTTCAGCACTTCAACGCCGACTCATAATGCCTGTTGTACTGTGTTTGCCCCCCCCCCCCCTCAAAGTCATCTACCAGAGCGAAGTCACTCGATGCTACAAGGTGAGGCGAAGCGCCAGGAGCGCCGTGTTGTTGTTGCTTGCTTGCTATCTCAGCGCCGTGGCACCCCGCCCTTTCCCTTGCTCGCTCACCAATCCTCCGCCTTCACTGCTCCTTCCTTCCTCACATACACTCTGCTTATTACACAGAGCGCTTGCTGGCGCACCGTGAACCTGTCGTGCCGGGCACTTCGCACCCAAACGCGCGGCAACCGCATCGCAGTGCAGGTGTGGATCAAGCCCATCACCGCTGCCGATGGCTTTGACGTCGACCCTGTTGAACCCAAACCCGCATCCACGGACGGATACACGCTGCTTCGCCGCTACGTTGTTGACCTCTTCGGCCTCACCCTCCTGAAACAAGCGGTGATGACACGCGCACCATATCATCCTATGCTCATTCCATTCGTCGATGTTCACACACTCACACGCACACGCACACTCTCTGTCTGTCTGTCTGTGTGTGTCTGTCTGTATGTTTGTCAGTCTCTGTGTGTGTGTGTGTTTGTTTGTCTGTGTGTGTGGTGTGTGTGTGTGTGTCTGTCTCTCTCGCTCACACTTGTACACACACTCACACGCATACTCACTCAAATGTGTATCATCTCTTGTATCCTCGCCAATCTCATCTGCGTGCTGATTGCACACCAGCCCGAGAACACAGATGTGCCCCATTCCGAGAGCAACGCTCTTCTCATTGCGCTCGGCACCTGCTGGTACCTCGCATCACCGCTGCCCCCAGTCAGTCACAGATCATGCCCTTGCGTAGGCTCTTGTGTGTGTGTGTGTGTGTGTGTGTGTGTGTGTGTGTGTGTGTGTGTGTGTGTGTGTGTGTGCATGTTTGTGTGTGTGTGTGCGTGTATGTTTGTGTGTTTGTGTATGTGTCTGCTTCGGATTGTGCACGTGTGTGTGTGTGTGTGTGCCTGTGTGTCGTGACCGCCCACGCGCACGTGACGTGCGTGCGTGCATCCACAGCACTTTAAGCGCACCTGTGACTCATCCACCTCCCAATACCGCCCCGCCCCGTGCAGGACGCCGTGCGAGAGCGCCTGCCGCCAAAATACCTTCGGGCGCAGGCTGTGTCCATACGGCGCATGTACACGGAGACGTCGCTGAGCCGGCTCATCAGCCTGTGCACGTCATTGGAGCAGGACACGCGCTGGGACCGACTCAAGGGCGAGGACGTCTGGCGATCGGAACACCGGTACGCTCCTCTTCTGATCGTGTGATGTTGTGATTGCGATGCGTCCATTTTGTGGTTGTGGTTTTATTCTGAATGCGTCTACACATGTGTGTGCGTGTGCGTGTGTGTGTGTGTGTGTGTGTGTGTGTGTGTGTGCGCGCGTGTGTGTGTGTGTTGCTCTGCTGACTTGTGCTGCCTGTGCAGTTGTGATGATCACACATGCATGGCATCGTTGTCTGCACTCGAGCGAACCCACTGCCGCTGACAGCCCATTCAGCTCATTCTTCCGTCCTCTTCCCCACCGTTACCCCCTTCACTCCTAATACTTTCTGTTCACATGCGTATGCTGTACACATGCGATCGCCATATCCAGCGCCCGCCTTGAGCGAACCCGCGCGCGCGTGTCGTTCCTCAAGCTCAAATTGGCTGCGCAGCGCACACGCACGGACCAGGAGCGGGCGCGCGTGGACAAGCAGAGGGAACAGCTTCTCGAGAAACGTACGCATGCACTTGGCATGTGCCCTCAGCTGGGGTGACACCTTTGCTGATTGCGGTGTGTCTGCGCACGTGTGTGGACGAGTGATTCACCACCCATGTCATCTCTCCATCCTCTCACGCTGCCGCTCCTGCTGCCATCCTTGCCGCGTGTGCGTTGTTGTGCAGAGCGGGTGATGGAGAGACGATATGCGGACTTGGACGAGCGCATCGCCGCCCTCAACGACAGAAAGGATACATTCGCAGACACCGAGCACAAGCTCAAGGAGGTGTGCGAATGTGTGCGTGTGGGATTGTGTGCGTGTGCGTGTGTGTGTGTGTGTGTGTCTCAACGAACGTTGACGTGTCGGCCATTTGGTGCTTGGCTGCGCTGCTTGTATTCGTTCACACAAGATACAGCATCCGTGCTATTGCACAACACGCGCCAGACACATGTTACATGTTCAGCCCTCTCCATGCTCATGCAACGGTCTGTCTGCCTTGTGCACCACAGGTCCTGCTGGCACGCGACATGCGGCAGGCCGTGCTAGTGCTGGAACTCTACTCCGTCTACCACGTCAAGCCGGTACACCGCGCGTGCCACAACTTGCTCGGGTCTTGATGCGTACACACGCACACACACACACACACGCACATACACGGTCTGACAACGCAAAGTCATCGTCGTCTCATTTCGCACACGCCCATGACCGACATATGTTTCTGTGTTGCGTGCATGCGTGTGTGTTTTTGTCTCTGCGTGTGACAGATAACGGAGGACCTGTGCTCGATCATGGGCATTGAATTGCCGAATGGAACGTTCACAGACAGAGACGATGATGCAATTGCCACTGCTCTTGGTAAGGTGACATTCCTGCATCCATACACACACATACACCATGCACTCGTTTTCACGCCTCACATACCACGAACACACACACACACACACACACACACACACACACACACACACACACACACACACACACACACACACACACACACACACACACACACACA